AGACGTGTGCTCTTCCGATCTCCCCAAAACCCCAAAACCCCGTGATTGAATTAGAGCAGTAATTGCTTTTGAGATGCATAGAAAGAATTAAAAGACATCATAAACTTATCTATTCTTCGAAAATTCCACTTGCAAAAAAGTTCAAATTATTAAATTAACTAAGTGAGAAATCATTAATAATTTAGATAAGCTACTTACTCAATATAATTTTAAACCCTCAATCAATAATGGGAACACTCTGTTCACGGCCTCAGCAAGACTCAGAAGCTTACTTGCCAATTACATAGAAAACAAATAAAAGATCAATGTAGCAACCCAAAACCTCTATGATTGATGAGAGTAAGAAGCCAAATTTTCATTGTAAATATAGTAAATTTAGCAAAGAAGATGGAGCAGTAAATAAGGATATAAGGGAATAAGATAAAAATTATTTCTGATAAAATTCTCGAATTTAAGAAGCTTAATTTATAGAAAGCTATACAAACTGTGAAAAAGAAATCATTCATACCAGTAAATATCTAAAGCTCTCAACTTAACTACTTGGTACGTCTTAAAAATAATTTCTGATAAATAATATGTTTCGTTTAGACTGAGTTGAAAGCTGAGTGTGAAGGTTATGAGAATAGTATATCAAATGTTTTAAATGAACTTTAAATCCTCAAGGATAAGCATCAGATCATATAGGCAGATCAAGAACCATAACAAAATACAAGAACAAAAGAGCTGGAAGGAATCTAGGATAGTCTGAATAAAATAAAATGTGATACCATAATTGTGGAGAATGTATTCAAGTAAACTAGTCTAGTTTTTACAACTTCCAATGAAATCTATGAAATTGCAAAGGACTACGAGAGATATCTTTATAGACTGAATAGAGAATAGAAAGTCTCCAAATCAAATTTAATAAGGTTTTAAAATGAAGTTAAAGAACTTTAAATCTTTCTGGAAGACCTAATGCTTGATAACATAAACTATGAAGAAAATTTTTCAGTCCATCTTTAAAAATCATTATATGCTTGCTAGCTTAAGTTACAGAAGTTTTGCAAAATGGTTAGCAAAACAATTACTGAATTATCCTAAATTTAAGAGAGAAGAGAGTAAATAATTAAAGACGGAAGCTATGACAAAGATTTGCTTTAATAATAATATACATAAGTACTTGACGTGGTCCTAGGGAAAGAATATCTAATTGAGAAATTTTAAAAAATCAAATCTATTGTCGTAGACCTTAAAATTGAACTTGGAGACCTCTATATCCATAACATCCAATAGCAATAGCATCTCCTAGTTGAAGAATAGTAGTAATCAATTACTAATTTTCTATTCCATATCTAAAATGTTTAGTCACCATAAAGTAATAAACTAACTAAGTACATTATTGAAGAATCACACAAAGCTTATATTGAATAATCAAATTAACTGTTAGATCAGTTAGAACATGTATCATTTCAGATTTCTGAGCTAGATCATGACGTTAATTCTTTTGTTGGAATCAAATAGTGTGGCTTCACTAAAATTATTAAAATTGTTAAGGCATAGAAAGAAATTTCAAATATTCTTAATATTGTTTCTGGGAAGTCCTGTCTGCAGTAATTATAATATCATAGATCATACTTATACAAAAAAATGGAAAAAGCACATAAACTTTTTATTAACGTTTAAGGTTCCATAAATCTAAGCACACCTTTCATTCAAGAATAGTTGGCGCAACTTTAAGCTGAGATCGATGATATTTATGATAACCTCCCGCCAAGTTTTGATTTTATTTTGGAAAACTATCAAACCTAACACTCTATTAGAAATTTAATCACAGATCTTAATTAAGATCTTAAGGAAGTCTTAGAGCATAGATTTGATATCGAAGAAATAATTTAAGAACTTAAATAAGTAGATTAACTTCACTTTGTCAAGTTGTCAGATTATTTTAAATAGAACCCCAGCAAGTTAAAAGGTAACAATACAACAAAGATAGGTCAGATTAGATCAAAAACTTCTCAATCCATTTTTTCATCCAAGTATGCCACTGCAAAGTAAAAGGAACCTGTATTTTTCGATTACAGTAATGGCAATAGCAGAGAAACCTCTAGAATTGGGCTAGGCTTGGAAAATTATGACTCAAATAATCATATTGATAATAGTCTTAGTACAAACTTGACTAAAACTATTTGTCATCTTAAAGATATACCAGCTTCTCAGTTTTAGACATCGCTTTCTTTTGGTTTATCTCAAGGATATTCTGAAGATTATGAGACTAGTTGGAAGATCAAAAGAGTAAAATATGACAAAGAAAAAGTTCTTGCTGATCAATATGTCATTGATAATAATGATGATGAGCTAAGTTCAATTCACAACTCATCTCAAAAGCTGTCAATAAATGACTGAAAATGATTTTATGATAAGTGATAGTTCTATTATTCTTATTAGAAAAATATAATACTCTTAATTATCAATTACTTTTAGTATAACTGTATGTGCTCCAATTAATAAATCAATAAAATTTAACTTTTAATATAGTAGATTATCTCATCAACTTAAACTCACAAAATAATGCTTATAAAATCTCAAGGGGTTTTGGGGTTTTGGGGTTTTGGGG